ATAATAAACAAACAAACTTACATTTGTTGCAGTGGATAACTCAGGATTACGGTAAACTGACGTGGCTTTCAACAACTAACGTGAGCCATAGTCATAGTTTTAGCCAATCAGAGCAGAGTAGGGCGGGTCGTTCTTTCTGAGCCCAGGTGAAGCACCACAGCTCCTCCTGTCCTCACCGAGTGTCTGGACATGTTCACATCCCCTCCTCCCAAACTGAGCTGTCCAACCTCCCAGGACATCATTACATCTCCATGTATTGTGGACATGAATGTAGGGTAAACATTTAATCCACTTTCTGTCATTGATTCTGTCTCAACAATTTCTATGTTGTTTCGTTTTTAATTGAATTTACATATTAAACCTGTTTATTGGTAACATCCTGCGGTAGCAGTAGGTAACTGCCATCGTGCGTGGTTCTTGAATTTGAGGAAATTGGTACTGGGAATTTCTTGAAAGGTCCTTGAATTTGATGTTGACCAAGGTGTGGGAACCCTACGTTCTGCCTGTTAAAAAACCCTCTGTGTGCAGGCCCACAACATGAGGGTGATGAAGTTCAGTGTGAGTCCCGTGGTCCGAGTCGCTGTGGAGGCCAAGAATCCAGCTGATTTGCCCAAACTGGTGGAGGGCCTGAAGCGCCTGGCCAAGTCAGACCCCATGGTGCAGTGCATCATCGAGGAGTCCGGGGAGCACATCATCGCTGGAGCTGGAGAACTGCACCTGGAGATCTGCCTTAAAGACTTGGAGGAGGACCACGCCTGCATTCCACTGAAGGTGAGCGATAGAGACAGGGCAGGTCAGCACCGAAGAGTATAAACTTACATATCAGCAATATTAGAGCGCTTTAGATGTGAATGTAGAGCTACAAACCATTCCTCTCAGTTCTGTCCCTCTTTGATCTCCTCTTCTAGAAATCAGACCCAGTGGTGTCTTACAGAGAGACAGTGACAGAGGAGTCAGACCAGATGTGTCTGTCTAAGTCCCCCAACAAGCACAATCGTCTCTTCATGAAGTCCCGCCCCTTCCCAGACGGCCTCGCTGAAGATATCGAGAAGGGCGAGGTCACCTCTCGGCAGGAGCTCAAAGCCCGTGCCCGCTACCTCGCTGACAAGTACGAGTGGGAGGTGACAGAGGCCAGGAAGATCTGGTGTTTTGGTCCGGACGGAACCGGACCCAACCTGCTGATAGACGTCACAAAGGGGGTTCAGTACCTCAATGAAATCAAGGACAGCGTCGTGGCCGGTTTCCAGTGGGCAACTAAAGAGGTGGGTTCATTTTGAGGGGGTCTCGACCACTCAGCGCACATTTAAAACATCTGATTGGGTTCTTTTTTTCTGAGAATCCTAATGTTTCAACCCACAGGGTGCYCTCTGTGAAGAAAACATGCGCGCCATCCGCTTCGACATCCATGACGTTACGCTTCACGCAGACGCCATTCACCGGGGTGGAGGGCAGATTATCCCCACAGCTCGTAGAGTCCTGTACGCCTGCCAGCTCACTGCTCAGCCTCGACTCATGGAGCCCGTCTATCTGGTGGAGATACAGGTTGGTGTGTGGAGGAAAAACGTCTCAAAGAAAGGCGGGAAAAAATGATCAAGAAACCAATAATCACACATTTATGATCACTTACAAGTTCAACAATTTCAGCTGAGTTAATAAGCCTGGAAGGTGTTTTTCTTTAGACTTTGAAATATACAGTGTTTCAAATAGGGGTGTCCTGATACCAGTTTTTCTTAAACCGAGTATTAGTACTGATCACTTCAGTTTGGGTACTCCCCGATACCCAGTACCAGTATTGAGTATTTACTGAGTTAGAACTTAAACATTACACAATTTTTATTAAAAAACAACAACATTTTTTTTACTTAGAACATGCTACTATCAGCTACATATCAGATGTTTGTTGAAACAACCTCAGTCTAAATAAACATGTTGCATTTCATCTGACTTTCACGTCAGTGAAGTGGGGGCATACGGATCGATCCAAGTAATAATAATGATAACCTCAAGTCATGCTGTAACTCCACGCATCTTCAGCTACAGAACAGAAGTCCAGAAGTCTTTAAACTCGTAATATTTTGACTTTAAACTCGTAATATTATGACTTTATTCTCGTAATTAAGAAAAAAAAATCTTGTGTGGCCCTAATACTCCGTCGTATCATATCTGTTTCTACACCTTGAAATGGGCCTCTGTCTCTTTAAGAACCTCCTTCTGCTTCTGTCCCGCCCATTTCATCACAGGGCCAGGTGTGTGTGCTCTGTGATGAGGAAGCTCAGCTTGGAGACACAGCCCAGAGGAGGAGCTGATCCCAAAAGGTGGTTCTAGTCCCAACCGGTCGTTTTCGCTCCCCTGCCTGGCTGCCTCAGGACAGCACAGGATTTCTCAAACATGCATGAATGAGTCAAAGCAAGATTCTGGGCATGTTTTTGATGAGAGGATAACATTATAACATGATATAAAACTCAAAAAAGTTGTTTTTACATGACATTTCCCCTTTAATTTTCCACGTCCTGGATGACTGAGAATCCACAGAAATATATGACGTCAGTTTTGGACCATGTCGATACTAAAGTGGATCAGTATTTTAGTTGTTTTCACTTCAAGCGCGTTGAGTCACTCTTCACCAGAGCAGCACCAAGAAGCAGGTTAAAATGTAAACAGTGAACTAAACAAGCACATCAGATAATTATTTAACCGGCTCTGATTGCGCAACAACTTCAGAATCGACATGCTAACATGTAGCATCCATAGTTACGTCTGTGCATGTGTGTCCCATCAACGGCATAAAGTGTGCACACTGGAGTCTAATAAAGGTCGCATTTAAAATTTGAACATCCAATCAAAAAAAAATGGTACTGGGGCATTTTCAGTGAGTACAAGTACGTTTTAAAATACTGATATCAGTATTAGGACACCACTAATTTTAAACCATTTCACTAGTGAGGTTGTTTGGATTATTTTTCAATAGGAACATTTGTTGAAGGAATCCACCTTTTATAAGATTTAGAATAAGTTTGTCTTACGTTGAGAAAGGACAGAGTTTTATATCTGCATAATCTTTTAGAATATTGCATGATGTCATTGTCAGTGTTGTGAGTGACTCTCAGCTACTCCCACAACAAACTTAACTCAATATCTGGAAAATTGACTGCGTTATAACCATGTGTTTTCTAGCAGACTTTAGCGAGGCTAGTCAGCTTGAATCAGGTTRGTTCCAAAAGTAAATTACTTGTGAACAGTATTCAAGCCCCGACATGTTTTACTTCTAAAACCAGCTGTTCGGGACAGGCTTTGAACTTGAAGTTGACATGCCTCCTCTCCGTGCAGTGCCCAGAGTCGGTGGTCGGCGGGATCTACGGCGTGCTGAACAGGAAACGTGGGCACGTGTTTGAGGAATCCCACGTGATGGGAACGCCCATGTTTGTGGTGAAAGCCTACCTGCCTGTCAACGAGTCCTTCGGTGAGTTTTGTCTGTTTGTGCGTGAATGTGTACCATAGCATTTTCCTCAGATCTMAAGTAGAAATGTAATTTGTAACCAAATCAAACTTAGTACAGCAAGTTTCCATTGAAGGTATTTTCTAATGTATATATCAGTCGGCAGGTAGTTAGCAAGCACTTTCTTGTTGGAAAAAGGAACTTCTTTTCTTTAATTAATCATCTTTTTCTGTGTTGTTTTTCCTTCAGGGTTTACAGCTGACCTGCGCAGTAACACTGGAGGCCAGGCCTTCCCTCAGTGTGTATTCGACCACTGGCAGATTCTCCAGGGAGACCCCAGTGACCCCAARAGCAAACCCTTCCAAGTTGTCGGTGATATTAGAAAACGTAAAGGTCTAAAAGAGGGCATACCTGCTCTAGATAACTACTTGGACAAATTGTAAACACCGATCCTGGATCATAAAATACCAAATCCGTACCAAACCCTACCCATCGGGCACTTTAAAACCTTTGCACAGGCTTACAGATCCATCGCACAAGTTGATTTGACGTTAAGTCCAGAGCAGAAACAAGGAGAGCAGCAATGCTTTTTTTTTTAATTGTTTCATTTTCACAGCTACCGTACACCAAGTGCCTGGGCTAAGGGATTTGGGAAACAATTGGATCCAAGCAATTATTCCTCATTTCTTCTATTCCGTCACATCATCCCTCTTTTTCRTTCCTCTCATCTGCCAAGATGGGCCTGTTAATTGCACTGTGATACTGCTGCAATAATGCTTGTTTCAATGGATTATAGCCAGAAATCACAATAAAGTGTTACAGAAGTCAAATTTGCTGGATTGGGCTTTTGTTCAGTGGATATAACAAATAAAAAGATCAACCCATGATAGGCTCCTAAAGTTATTCTGGTTTTTGTTTTTTTGCCTGTAGTGTTTTGGGGAAACATTACTTTTTGTTGGCTGTGAGTTTAATAGCGTTGAACTTTGTTTTTTATTTTTCGCTTATCTTCAGTACAGTACTTGATCATTTAGAGAAATATGATGATTCATTCAAGCATAGAAAGACTCCTAAAGGAATGAACAAATGATGTGTCGACTCATCTCTGCTGCTCATTTTGACTAAAATGTGAGTTTTGATTAAACAGTAATATGTAATGGAAGTGCTGCAATACAACAACACTCAAAAGTACAAAAAACAACCAAAAAATCAGCTGGCAGCAGATGTGTGTATGACATTTCATTAATTTGGCAGTGAAAAACAAAACTATTTATTGTGAACTAATAACGAGGGAACATTTTTAGTGGTCTTCATCACTGCCTGCAAATAAACTATTACTGGCATGTTGCTATTAAGAAATTGCAGACATGAAATTTTAAGAACAGCACAAAATAAAAAAGTATATATGGTAAGCAAAAGGATCTTAGGACACCAGGTAAATCAGAATTGTGCATAAACAATTGCACGTTTGTCAGCCACTTTCCGTCCACATTATTCACTCATCATGCTCCAACTTAATGTTTTTCTTAAACATTATTAGCTGTCAGGGTAGAGCAAACTGCATTGTGGTTTAATTGCAGAACTAAAACCACTTCATTAGGAAGGCCTATCCTGCCATAGTTGGAAATAAATGAACAATTTTAGAATTGTACAATTCCAAATAGAAATAAATGTACAATTGGAAATAAATAAACAAATAATAAATGGCTTGATAACGTATTTAACGTGGTAAATATTGCATCCAAAAAAGAAAAACTTACTTATTTGATTGTAAATGCAACATAAATTACTTAGAATTTCAACCTTATTAAACATTATAACAATTATTTTGTTTTCATTTTATTTCACATCTTAATTTTTGGTTAATTAGTTTACTTTTTATCTCATTATATTTTAAACTCATATTGTTTTAAAAATATAATAAAATATATAATAAAATCTAATATAAAAATACAAGGTAACATTTTAATGTACTCGCTGCAGTTCTCCTCTTAAGCAGTGAGCGTCGCTGTTGTAAATCAAATGCCGCTACACCGCAGAATAATACCAGAAGAAGAAAAATACAGGAAGTAAGTTCCACACAATCTTAATGAGATATTTACAAATTAAACGCATTACTTTTGAGCATATGCCTTGTTCGTAACATCCAGAGTAAATGTTTTTAATTCCTATGTTAGCTCCAGCATATTTTTAAAAGCGTTTTAACGATTAGAGCGAGAGAACAGGAAACTTCCCCGCCTACTATCATCAGCTGACTTTGTCTGCAAACAGAGCCGTCCTGCTGTGGTCCCGCAGCTCTCTCCACGATCATGGAGGAACACGACGACAGCGATATCATAGAGCACCACGTCGAAGAGGAGATGGAGAAGAGAGCTGCGTTCATGGAGAGTCCGTCCGGCGAGAGAGAGGGTCACTGCAGCACTCAGTCCTCCCACAGACTTCTGGCCTACAGCGACGCCCTCATCTCCATCATCGCCACGGTCATGGTGAGACTGAACGTCTCAGAATTAAGTGGTTCTGCTTGGAGTGAGATGGAGAATTAATCATCTTAAATCAAAGGCCAAATTAACTTATAATACAAATTATATTTCATTTTTGTCATTGAATCATTAAGCTGCAACTTGTGAATATGAAGCCAGTTAAGATATGATCTCACAGGAAGTTTCACAGCTGCAGACTTGAGATTTTTATCATAAAAGTGCAATCAAGTTTAACACCAAGGGTGATTGCATAAAACAAACATCCTATTACATAAAAACTGGCATGAAAGACAGAAATAACATGATATAACACACCAAATTGATAAAAAAAAAAGTAACTACGGGAGATTTACCTTTAATAACAAGACAAACTTGTAAACTTTATTGGTCACATTGACCCAAAGTCATCTAATCTTTAAGTCTGTATGATTTTATTACTTTAAAATAAATATATTGTCTATAGTCTGACTCTAATAGAAAAGACTATACACAAAAGAAGATTAAAGWTTTTTGTTTGTTTTTGACTTTTAAAAAGTTGACACATCCTCATTATAACAATGAGGAAGCTGCTGCCTCAGCCCGGTTCTGCAACTATGACCCAGTTTTACATCTGTAAGAATGCAGCTTCAGAGAGTGTTCTGAGTCCAAGAGAAGATCCGCTGAAACAAAACAAACAAGACAAATGTTTGGTTGAAATAATTTATGTATGTGTTTGTAAACAAGGTCCCTTTTTCTGATTAAATCGTGACTCTGTTTAAGTAAAAAWTTTAAAAGTTAAATTTCCAGCTTTAAGCATTTAGTTGTGTTCCAAATTGTTTTTTTTTTCATATAAAACAACACTGATTTTAACACTGTTTTCCTACATAGAAATGTACAATTAAACCAAAGTTGGTTTCTTCAGTTTATTTATTACAGATTAATTTCATTCATAAGTTTATGAATGTGCTGTTAACGACATACAGAAAGCACATTTTGCACTGTTTGGTTTCAACTGGAGCCCTGAAAGGACAAACCAAATTCTGTGCCAGAGTACATTACTTTTGTTTTTTTAGTCATTATTAATAGATTTTATTGTCCTAACATTGCTTTTATTTTCAAACAGATATTACCTGTTGCCCACACCAAAGTGGAAGACAATGAGGTAAAGTTTAATGATGTATATCACTGGGACAGATGTGTTTGACAGTGTAACCTAAACTGTGGAAATCATATCTTTTTGTAGGAGTTGAGGCAAAGCGTTCAGCTTTTGCTGACGACAAAGATCGCCGTTTACTTAATGACCTTCCTCATTGTGACAGTTGCATGGGCTGCTCACATTAGGTAATTTGTTTTATTTTTATTATTAAGTGTGCTGTTGTCACTTGATCTGATTTTTCTCTGTTTTTATCCTTTATTTTCCACAGGTTGTTTCAAGTGATCGTGCGCATTGATGACTGTCTTGCACTGTTAAACCTTGTGAGTGTGTTTAAAACTAACTTTCATGAAAAACCTTCAGTTTATCTTACAGATATAAGAATTACTTGCACATTTTATTTAGACCAGGAATGTAAGACCGTTTGTCTCAGTTTAGTGAATTTTGCTGCTGAGTTGAGCAGGTTGTTCTTGTTTCCTTTTTTCAAATGTGAACTTCTTTTTTCAGGCCTGTATGATGCTGATAACTTTTCTGCCATACACTGTGAGTACAATTCTGAATCTCTCTGTTTGCATGATTAATGTGTCAAAATTTAGTTTGATTTGTCTTCTCTGTAAAGTTTTCTTTAATGGCCACCTTTCCTGACAACATCCTCGGGATTTTACTCTTCTGTGGTTGTGTGATGGTGATCGGAGTCATTCAGGTGAGGAATTAAAAAAGGTCCTTRTGTTCTTCCATTGGCTCCACTGATTCAAACCTCATGACCTTCGTTTTCTGTACAGTAACTGTCTGTTTGTTGTTTCTGTAGTCAGTGATCGTGTTGTACGCCTTCAGCCGGCCTTTCCTGCTGAACGAACAGATCCAGATCTCTGAAAACCAAGTCTACTATAAATGCCACATCCTCAAAGTAATCATGAGGGTTCCCATCATGTGCTTCTTCGCCAGCATCTTCTCCTTCATCTTCTTCCAGCTGGTCAGTGGTGTCACCTTTTCTTCTCGAACTTAGTGGTTTAGGCATTAAACTTCTTGGTTAGAATTTTAAAAAGTAACGACTTGCATAATATAAATCTTCTAAATTTACTGCGTGTTATTAAATGTAATATTTTCCTGCTTTATCTGCGAAACTATAAAATATAGTTCAAGCGAAACCAGCTGAGTGTCATTCAGAAGTGACTCAACACCATAAACCTTGTTTTTTTTTTTGCCACCTTGCACTAAAGTATCAAAGCCACTTTTTATATTTGTCGTCTAACATTTTGTTTTCTTCTTTAGTCTTACGTCATCTTGGCCATTGTCATCTTCCTGCCGTACATCTCCCAGTGCATCAAGTGGTGTCGCAGTAAAGCGATCGGTAAAAAGGGGTTACTGATTTTCTGGTTCTATCTAATGTAAGCTTCCCTTTTATCACAGATCCCATGTTGTGTATTTCAGGTCAGGTGGAGGAGACTCCAGACTCCTTGTTGTTTTACACCTACCTCCCTAATGAACCCCTCAGCAAAGATCGGGTGGAGGCGTTCAGCGATGGTGTTTATGCCATCGTAGCAACTCTTCTCATTCTGGACATATGGTATGTTTCAGGTAGATGCAGAGAGGCTTTAATGCTATTTAGTTTAGTTCAGTTAAATAAGTCAAATATTTCTGCATTTCTTTTCTTTTTATTTTTCTTTTTAGTGAGGACAATGTTCCAGACCCGACGYTGGTGCAGAAGCAGTTTGGCGGGAGCCTGATAGCGGCTCTGCAGGGCTACGGCCCGGAGTATCTCGCCTACTTCGGTTCCTTTGCCACCGTGGGCCTCCTCTGGTTTGTCCACCACTCGCTCTTCCTCCACGTGACGAAGACGACCCGCTTCATGGGCTTGCTGAACACCTTCTCTCTGGCGTTTGTCGGAGGTTTGCCTTTGGCCTACCAGCTGACGCACGAGTTCCCGCGCGACTCGCAGAACGAGCTGGAAGCCATCCAGATCAGCTGCGTGATCGTTTTCTTCGCTGGAATTTTTCAGCTCACCATTTGGGTGGCGGCTCTTTACAATGAGCGGGAAACCCTGCACCCGTACGTGCGCTACGGTGGACAGGAGCACGTATTTATGCTGGCCAAGCTCYCGCTTTACCCCTGCGTCGCTTTGGGAACGTTTTTCCTGACCTGCGTTTTGAGTAAATTCAGCGCCCCCATCTTCCACTTGATGGAAATTACGGTGCCTTTCGCTTTTCTCGTGCTGAGGCTTTTAGTGCGCGTTGGGCTGGCGCTGCTGCGGTTCATTTTCTGTCCTAACCGAGCTGATCCGAGAACTGTCGTGGAGGAGGAAGTAACTGAATCGAGTGTGCCTTTTAATGCTCTAATCACCTAAACGTGTCAGAGAACCAACAGAGCTGTGGGGCGACGCTGCTGAAAGGCTTGGCCACCGTAAGAGTTATCGRTTCAGCCTCTCGTCAGCATCCAGACCAGGGGCGGTTCTAGGGGCGGGGCCACAGGAGCATTGGCCCCAGCTGAAATCTGATTGGCTCCATGAAGTGCACCTGCCCTGTCACTCATCTGTGCTTTGCCTGAGAATGGTGATGGTGGTTGCAGTTCCATGTCCAAACACTAGTAGCGCTAATGAGTCAAACAGGAAAGTCCAGCATGAATCAATTTTACAGAATTCTTCTCTTCTTAAAAAAATCTAAACAATCTTGCAGAATAAGTCTTTCAACTGACAAATGATGGCTGGGTTTTCTCATATGCTGTGTATTTGAAAGTATTTTATCTACTTACAGTAAAAACACATGTAAAATTGCCAAGGATAATTTACTGTTCAAGCTTTAACATTAAATTACATTACATTACAAGTGCTTGAATATGTGACTGGTAAAATGTATACACCTTACCAAAACCAGTGATTTGAGTGCTAGGATGTTGAACAAATACTTGGCCCCTCTATGAATATTGTGGCCCCTTGATGGCCCCTTACTCAGAAAAATCCTAGATCTGCCACTGATCCAGACGAAAAGGGAATAACTCGTTTTTCAGCAATTATCTGTTCAAATTTGAGCTTAAAATCAGCGCAAATGAGATTAAACCCAACCACCTGTGCTGAAGGTGAAAGATGGATCCGGTAAAGGTGAAAAAAAAATCCCACTAGTTGATAAACTGATAGAGTACCAAAGCTGTAAGACATGTCTCAACCAATGCTAGTCTGATTAGCAAAACAAAGAGGTTTGTATGACAATCAGGCCCTTGTATTAATAGTTGCTTTCTTTTTTTAAACTCACAGAACAGACTGTTTATTTATCCTCCWGTCATCCAGAGAGTTTTTTTAATTTGACGTGTAGATCCATCTTAATGTGGTTTTCAAAAATCAGAGGTGCYTTTGAGCACCTTGAACTGAGCACATATGACCCTACAATTCTGTATTTGCACTGTTGTCTTACCAAACCTGTGCAATACTGATGAGAATACACTCTAACCATCCGTGTTTTACTTTTTTTAACACACAAAAACATAAATCAAAACCAAATGTAATGACTTATAAATCTGAAACTCTATATTTAAAAAAAAACTCAAAAACATATCCGCCATCTGAGGTAGTGTCAGGAAAACGATGTTACTAACAATAAATTAAAAAAAAAGTCAAAAGAAGAGGCAGGAGAAAGTTTAGTTGTGTTGCATCAACACTGGCCATTTAACTGCAAAATGATTAACTTTTTATCCGCGCAGCCCAGGTGTGTCCTTTGTTTTTTGTTTGCTTCCTAATGCACTACATGAAATAACTTTTTTAATGAATGGTAGCTTTGAATTTGAAGTCGGTCAGTTTGACGCCAGGACTCCTAGGAATCACAGTGAATGCACTTTGGGGTGTTAGCAGAGCAGGGTCACGGTTCTTAGTGTTAAATTGTGTTGAAATACTGAACTGGTCTGTAAGGTATATTATGCTATAACAAGCAGACTTACTGTGTTAGTTTGACTCAAAGTGGATTCATGTCTAATGTGCACTTTAACTAATTCCTGCTGATTATCCATCCACATGATAGTGAGGTTTATTAGGAAAAATACAAATAAACCCAGCTGGCAGCAAATGTGAATATTTTGTTTTAGATATTTTGTGTGTGTGTGTGATTGTCTTGTTCATTTATTTGTTCATTTCATGACTATTGTTCTTTGCATGTAATTTTTTTGTTCATATTTTTGTTTCCTGCCCATTATAAAACTCACTGGTACTGAAATAATATCCACCAACAGTTTACATTTGTACTTGTCTTTCATTGATCATGGTGGAGTGTTTGTAGGAAAATACCTGAGGAGTGTTTAAATGTGAGGCGACTGTATTAGTGCAACAACAACTTTTTCTTATATGTATTATTCAGAATATATTTAAAAATGTCCATGTTTTTGTCAATAAACCAGAACCTGATCTTTTCATTTCAAATTGAACTGTCCTGTTTTGTTATTATAAAGTTTGTGAAACGCACAATGAGTGGGGAGAAATAAAACGTTCAAATTTCTCAAGAAATGTTGGTCAAGGCTACTTTAAGCAATGCAAAAAAAAAATGTAACCCAAAGTACAAGGACTTGAATAAAATTAGAAATTAAACCTTGTCAGCCTCATATTAGTCAGTGTTTTAACATATCTAAGTTTTCCYCAGTCTTACTATAATATAAAATAAATAAGGGTAAGAACTCTACACATGCCTCTTAAGAAGATTAATGAACAAAAATGAGTAAAGATCCTTGTTTTTGTAGCTAAGCTCAGATTGTTAGAATTGCTGTTATTTAATGNAGATGCACTTTATTCATTTCAGCTTGGTATTATTTTTTATTATTTTTATTTTAATAAATAATAATACATAATAATAATAATGCATAATATAATACATAATAATACAACAGTTTGAAAATGATGCAAAAACCGAATAAAACATAACATGACTTAAACTGTGCAAAGCAAYGCAACATCTTCCTGCACACATCAAAAGACCTCATTCCCATCTGGTAAACAGCTTGGATGTGGGACATCCGGTCCAGTCCAGTCTGTTGGTGGTGGTACCACCCAGGTACTTTTAGTCCTCTACTTCCTCTCCAATGTGGAGGATGCAGTCTGTACCCTCTTCTCAACCATCTTCAGWGAGGAGACACTCCTTTCCTTTTCCTGAAGTTAGTCACCAATATGGACAATTGCATGACCCATACAAAAAAGCAAAGCTAAATCTGAAACAAGTGACAATATTGCAGTCTAGAACAGTGATTTATGTGACTCCCTTTATTGCGAATTTAAACTGTTAATAAGTCAAACATGAGCATGATGAAAATATAAAATCATTTTGACTGCTTTTATCCATTGTAACAGTTATGGTGAAACCTATAAGCATTTTTTAAAATCAGAATAATTTATTGATCCCCGAGGGAAATCAGTTGTTACAGCTGCAACCGTTCACCTTAAATAATTAGAGAATAAAAGTGAGCACACTAGAATTAATAAAAATTAGAAACACGCTGGAGGAAAACAAAATAAATACACTTGTGGACATATAAAAATAGAAACCTTATGGTTATGTTGGATATTTTTGAGGTTGATTAACTGAATTTCAGAAACTATTTTATTGGTCTTCATCATTTACTAATAAGAGAATCTACAAGTATCTATTTTAATGTGCCTCGCTCCAGTTGTGTAAACACAAAGTTTTATATCTCCAGATTGTTTTTGTGCCATTTTGTCACCTCGGATGGGATGGACCACAGTTCAAGGCTGAGTCCTGAACCAGTTTTCTACATCTGATTCATGTTCTTATTGTACACAACTCCTTTCAGACAAATGAAAAAAATTCAGTCTCCCAGATGATGTTGTTTAATACAAAATGTTCCATAGAAATGTTATGAGATTAAGAAGATGATATTGCACGTTCAATTAAAAGTATCCTAAATAAACTAAAATGCACAGATGGAATAAAGAGACAGATGACTTCAGGTTTCACATTTAGGGACGAGTTATGAGTAAAGAAGACAAATCTAAGGAGTTCATCAAAGGAACACAATTTGGTGTTTCATGACCCATATTGGGGTGCCTAACCCTAAATTTGAAAAATTTGCTTTACATTTAAAGCCGTTTTTTTTTTTTTTTTTTTTGGAGCAGCAAGTTGGTACTTTCCTAAAGCACATGTATTATTGACCATCCCATATAAAATAACAGATTTAAACACAGCCTGACCTGAAATGTTTAACAAAAATGAGTCAATGCCTTGTTTTTTTTCTTCAAACCTTTTATTTGATACTTCAAGTTACATGTATTATGTTAATAAATGACACTTTAATATACAACCCTTCAACTTCTGTACCAAGAGGAAAATCTCTTCCACCCACACTTTGAAAATAAAGCTTAAAAAAACACATCTGAAGAGTTAGTGTGCATCCATAGAACAACCAAACAAACAGGCAAGGCCAAGAAGTGCAATGTATATTGGGTTTTAGGCAACTACGAAGCAAAGACATCACAGTTCATACTGTTAGGTAGAAAAAAAAAACTAACAGAAAAAGTCTCCTCTTATAGTGATATCTGTAAGACTACTAGGAAGTATGATTCAAATTTGACAAGATTTCATAAAGCTTTTGAGGTCCATTGGTTTATGGAAGTTAACAGTTTTTGTGGAGTCGAGTAAGACTCCTTTATACTAAATGCTATGAGGAGCTCATCTTGGCAAATCTGAAACTGTACATTCATACAGCTGTGACTGCAGAGTGCAGAAAGGAGAGTCATGTAGCTTAACCCTCCTGCTGCCCTGGGGTCAAACAACGACTCCAGGGCAGCAGGAGTGTTAACTAGAAGTCAGTGTTGAGTCTTATGCAGTCAAAGCAGTGACAGGTACTGGGAATAGTCTGAGAGACTCCTCCTTTCACCTCTCAGTTCCTGGTGGAGCTGGTTTCAGTGAAGTTTGTTTCAGAAGCTGGTAGAACTACAACACAAAGGAGACGGCAAGTAAAATGACAGTCTTTGCCCCGCGAAGCAACCCGATTCGCCTCCCGTCTATCTGTCCTCTCATGCAGCTAATGGTTGTGCAMAATGTGTGTGGCGGGGGAAACAGTATGAAGTCTGACAGATTAGTCCTCAGTACGGCTGCTGAGGTGCGGCCTCGCGCTGGTGTCAGGATGTCACACGTGATGGAGGATGGCTGCGATGGCTGAGGTAACTATGTGTAGAAGATGACCTCAGGAATCTGTCCGTCTTCTACTGAAGTGCCGTTGTTGTTGCCRGCTGCGTAGCAGAAGGTGAAACAGGTCTTTGTGCCAGTGGATGATGACTCGTGTGTTACTTTGCGCATTCCCTTGGTCCCATAATGAGAGTCTGGACCCTGTAAGACACACAAAAGGATGAACACACAAGTCCAAACACAATTTTTTCCCCCCATCGGTACAGATCCTTTCCAATCCATTACAGACCTTAAGAGTAGCGCAGGCTGTGTAGTTGACATTGGGCAGAATCTCCACCGGTTCTTTAAACATGACTCTGAAGGTGTTTGCCGACCCATCGCAGCTGAAACCTGTGTCATTCTGCCCCAGCACTGTGTTACTGTCTGTGTGGATTATCTACAACACACACAAACATCCAAGACTCAATAAAACCACAAATACAAAATGATCCCCAACAAGTAAATATCAAAGCGGGCTTAGAACAGCACCTGTATGTTGACTTGGTAATCTGTGGGTCCGTGTATGGAGCCGTAAAGTCCAAACCCAACAACAAATATCCTTCTGTTTACAGAGAAACTGGGAACAAAAGATTAGAGGTCACGAAAGGAGAAGAAAGTTGACAAATTCTATTTAAACTATTCACTGGGGTAATGCTATAACAGGTCATTTAGAACCATTAGCAATTAAACCCACTGAAATGATTACAAATGGACATTTTGTTACAATGTTCTCACAGAAAATCCTGGACATTTGAATTCCTTTGACATATTATTCACTTAAAACGGATACAAACCAATCACAACAGGAGAGAGGTTATTTATGATTACTTAATGAAAAAATAAAAGAGTCCTATTTCAACCTGAATTTTGATAGTTCTCTCAATGACCTCAAATTCAGCTATTATTGTCAAACTGTAATACTGTTGGAAAATAATTCACATTTAGTGTTTGGATATGAATACTCATTGTGTAACATACATTTTGTTCTCATTCACTGTAATGTCCATCCTGACAGATCTCTACAATTCACCAAATTTAGAAACAATTCTAGTAACAAACTAGTTCCACCAAACGTACATTTCAGGTGGCTGAACAAGAATTTATGTAATATTGAAGTTCATAAAGTAGATTTAAATCATACATTTTAGCCTTGTTTGATGTGGAAATTGTTACACATTAAAAATGTTACAAGTTAATTCTAAAGGTTTTTTACTTGATGTGCTGTTAATATAAAAATAGACCCATGTATTTAGTTTAATATATTTAATATGACGTTTGTTTGTTTTTTACTTCACTAAATTAATTCTTGTGGTGTAAAAAGACACGACGGTGCCAGTTTTCTGGTCCTTACCGTATGCGGTCACTTGTTCCACTGTAGCCCCAGCGGCTCTCCACCTGACCAAACCGGGTGATGCTGCACTCCTTTCCACGGAGGCAGCAGCGAGGACGGTCGATGAAATCCACGCGAGGCTTCGGGTTCACCGTGAAGTGGAGGAAGAGGCTCACCACCTCCCTGTCGGTCAGGATATTGGACTGGGCCGGACCTGAAGGATCAGGACACAACGCAACATGAGAAGCAGGGAAGGACCAACCGAAACAGTCGGGACGAGTCCTCCTTTACCTGCGGCGAACTCCTCGATGGTCATGAGGGGGAAGCGGATGAGCGTGAGGGCTTTCCCCAGGGCTTTGCGCATGTTCTCAGGCGTGGGCTGCAGCTGCTGCCTGCGGGCCTCYGCTTCGGCCCAACGCACCGCAGCCCCGAACAAACGCACCTCTCGGACCCCGAGAGTGTCCCTCTCCAGCACCGCCACCAGCGTGTCTAACAGACGGAGAGGCAAAGCCTCGTTTGGACCACAGTTCTTCAATTCAACACACAGCAATGATTAGAACTCGACAGAAACGCTCTACCCAAATCGATGTCTGTGAATCCCTCAGCAGCAAGAGCATCTCCGGTGTTCTTGTCGATGTTTTCTAAACAGAGGCTGGCAAGCTGAGGCTCGTCAAACAATCGTGCCTGAAACAAAGAAAATAGCTCATTTTAAGTAAATAACTGAGGGAAAAAACATGCTTACTTAAAAAAATGTAATGCCCTACTGTCCACATTAATACAACTACAGGCAGCTAAAGGAGAATTAACTTCTTWAGTAAAGAAAAATAAATTTCTTCACCGGTCAGGTTCAAACTTTCTGGTAAAATGGGTGAAAGATCAGATTTGCAGCACCGACACTCGCTACAGAAAACCTTTAACACACTTTGCTTTATGAAAAGAAGCATTATCATATTAAAAACTGAATTCTTTCCCACAAATATGTAATGGATATTTGTGTATTTATTGCAAAGGTAATGACACCCCCCCCCCAGTCATTTACCCATATGTAACCTTACATGTGGGTCACAGCTGGGCTTATTTTACATAGATTTAAAGGATGTTTTTTCTGGAACTTTTTGGACATTTGTTTCTTTCACAGTTTTGGAAATACACATTATAAAAGGATGATTTGTGTTTCCATATTCTGATCRAAAAAACAGTAAATGTTTTGTAAATGATTCAGAACATAATCTGACATATTTTAAGGAAGTAAGTGTAGTAAAGAGTCTTTTTGTTGACAAACTATGTAAATATTTCAATAAATTTTTACACATGCATTTGAAGGTAATTCAAAAATAATTTAAATAACTAGAGAGAGGTCTTTATCTATGGGAGCTGACCTGTGTAAGCAGCATGAAGGCATTGTCTGCTCTGAGGTTTTTCTTGAGGAACTCCACACAGTGAGCCTCCAAAGCTGGGACTGCATACTTCTTTGCAGTATATAAWGTGGTCATCACAGTCTCGGGCCCGATCTGGACCTCATCGGAGTACAGGAACCTGCAGGAGATTATGGAAATAACGCCAGTTGTAGCACTGGATTATTCTTAGGTGAACTATTCTCAGTGAGAGGTGAACACTAGAGTCCTGTTTGACAACATGCAAACCGTGATAAATTGCACTCTTTGTTCCTTACTTCAACAGGGCCAGGAAGGCAGCTGGTTCGACATCAGGAAGCTCGATTTCTGTAGAAGTGGTCGCCATCCCACCGTTGAACATGGCATCAAACACCGCGCTCCCCACAGCCAGCACAAACCTGACACAAAACAAAGAGAGGAGAGGGGGAGTGGTCACGGCTCGCRGTTTTACACGGAACCAGAGTTTGTGTTGAAGGTGATCACTCACCTGTGAGCTGGTATTCTCTGAACACCCATCCCTTTGCCCACCAAGAAYTGAACGTCGCTGAGCACCTCATTGTTGAAGAGGAACGCGAACCTTTCCTTCACGGTGCTCTTGGTCGCCTGCCAGTTGTACACCGGCTCTCGGTACACCAGCACGGACGCGGCAGCCGGTGTGGCGGTCGGTGCGGTCGCCTGGGAGGCGTTTGACGCCGCGGTGGCGGTCATGTTGGACGCCGGAGAAGCCATGGCTCCGGCTGCCGCAGCGGACGGCTGCAGAGGGTTCTGCGCAGAAGTCGGCGGAGCTCCGCTCGACGCGCCGCTGCTGTCTCCCCCGACAGGCCCCAGCTGCGGGTTGGGGCGCCTCGCTGCTCCCTGAGCTCCAGCGGCTGCACCCACCGCTCCCCCGTTGGATGCCGGCATCGAGAAAACGCTGTTGCTGGGCTGGCTGTTCCCCAAAGGACCCGAGCCAGAGAAACTGAGGCAAGGAGGCCTGCCGCTGTTGTCTCCAGCGGACATCTTGAATCTGGCGTAGGCGTCAATAACAAACTTAAACGCTTTCTGCATTTCCTGTAGTCTAGACGGTCATGTCTGCCTTTTATTTCCCCCTGGCGGATGTTATTGGTACTACAAGCTCACATCCCAGTGAACGGTAATGAAAATACAACACACAATCATATAATGAAAAAAAAAAAATCATGAGACTATACAAAACATATACTATATGAAATCAGAGAAGAAGTGCAGAAATCCCATTTTAAGTGGAAGGGGGGGGGGGGGCACTGAAAAACCAGGGTGGCGCACCAAAACTAATATCCATAACATTTTTTTATGATGTGGTTGTAAAAATGACAATTTGAAAACTATGGCAATATACTGCCAACAGATGTTCAATTTGAATTTTTACAGATAACATTACTGATTTTGTGACGTTCAGAGGACAAAATGAAGAACCAAAATATCTGTCCTTCCACAACAGTCCATTTACAACATGTTCTGCATCTGTACACATGGAGTACCATGTTGTCCTTACAATGTTACATATTTCAGTGGCATCAGAAGTATTTGTAATGTTGGGACCTACTGGTGGGGGTTCTGGGGGTCCACCCCCAGAAAAATTTGAAATAAGTGTCCTTTCCTGCATTCTGGAGTATTTTAACAAGTTGTTGAACAGACATTTGGGAAACAACAATACATAGGAAAACACTTGATGTGAGTTTTCTACTAAATCAAGTGGAATGAAATTGTTTAGCAATAGAAACAGCACTGAGCGAAGTAATATTTTATGGTAAATGTGGGCGTTCAAATTAATTCAAATTAATATTAAAATTTGATTAAAAATATATCTATGAATATAACCTCTTGAGAACTTCCATCTTTATTTGAGAACATTGGTTTTAGACTGGTTGTCCTTATTCCGAGGAGCTACATTTTAATTTTATTTATATACTTTTATTTTCAATAAAATATAAGTTAATGTTTATAACTCTTAATTGTTATAAAAATCCATTTTTGTTTCTATATTTATGAGGTTCTATTCTATATATAAAAAGGAAGAAGCAGGACTATATAATGGATGGAGTAGAGTAATTCATGTTGTCCATAGTGTCCATTCAAAATCACTGTTTTATARTAACATCTGAATAACTGAGTCTATTTGATTTTTCCCTCATCTTCACTGCCATCTTTCTTCGAGAGCACGGATCTGTCTTAAAATCAGCTGTGATATAGTTTTCCCCCCCAAATAAATAGACAATAAGAAACTCAGATATTTGACATAACTTACCTACAGAGAATAATTATGAGTGAATTCTCTGATATTTTTTTCCTTGGTAATGACTATGTAAAACATATAAACACACACCATAGACCGAATGTGAGAAAATTGCATTTTCTTTAAAAAATGTGGTGAGTGCTGAATAACAGAGCAATTTTGATTAAGCTTAAACAGAGTTGTTAAAGCTAAAAGAAGCAGAACACTAGTGAAAAGCTAAAAGAAAAACACTAGCTACAACAAAAGGTATGTCTAATAGGCTGTCAAGAAGCTCAAAGTAGCAAAATGTTAGCTAAATGTTCCTAAAGTGTAGATAGGAGCTAAAAGTAGCAAAAGGGTGGCTAAAAGCTAGTATAATGAAACAAAAATTAACAGAGAGTCAGCTTAAAGCTAAAAGTAGAATAACTGTAGCTAAATGTAGCAAAAGGATTGCTAAAACAGCAGAATGATAGGCCTAGCTAAAGAAGTAGGAAAACAAAGATCAAGTAGCTAGGCCTATGTTGAAACTGTGGAAGCCCATTTCCGCCACCCTGATAAAAAATAAATAAAACTTGTATCTCATAATTATGACTTAGCTATCTCATTATTATGAGATAGTATCTCATAATTATGAGATACTATCTCATAATTATGACTTAGCTATCTCATAATTAGGACTTAGCTATCTCATTATTATGAGATAGTATCTCATAATTATGAGATACAAGTTTTATTTATTTTTATCAGGGTGGCGGAAATGGGCTTCCATATGAAACAGATCTCAAAGAGAAAAACTGAAAATAAGCTTATTTCAGAAGAAAATATTTGTAAAGCTAGAGATAGCATCTCTTGAATGAGCTGAGCGTTGGATAAAGTGGCACAAAGTGTTTATAAGTAGATTACAGAAAAAGGCGAAACAAAAGTGAATTTGAAGAAAGAAAAAGAGGAAAAAAGAAAGATAGTCCATCCATCCATCCATCCATCCATCCATCCATCCATCCATCCATCCATCCATCCATCCATCCATCCATCCATCCATCCAAACTGCTTATGAATGAGGTCACAACAGCTCATTGAGAATACCAAGCTGTTTAGGAGTCAGGACCGAGCTCTGTACCATCCCCTCTCCGTTGACTCTCTGCGGGTCCAGCTGGAGAGGCACGACCCCCCCCCCCCCCCCCCCCTCCACCCCCAAGCCCATCAACCGTGACGTCAGGGCGCGCGGCGCAAGGGGGAGTTGTCCTCGCGCGCATCCCGCTGGATGCTGCTGAAACAAGATGGCTGTACGCGCAGGAGGAGCAGCGGCGGCGGAGGAGAGCAGCTGAGGCAATGCAGAAGAGGGAGCCGAGGAGGTGGGGGGTGTGTGGGGGAAGAGGAGGCGAGAAATCCACTCCCGCTGTCCCGCTTTAAAGAGTAGCAGCCTCGCAGAGGAGGAGAGGAACGTCCGGGAGATGCCGCTGGTTGATTTCCGTTTCCATTTCGGGCGAGCGGGTTTGTCGGCTTGAGTTGTTTGTGGACAGAGAGAGAGAGAGAGAGACTCAGCGGACGGTCCAAACAAATCACGGAGCACCGAGTAGAGGACAGCCGGGGACGCTCACACCGCTCAGAGATGTCCCTGCTGTGTGTGGGAGGTAAGAGGACTCGGTGCTTGATGTTATTGAACTTGCTACACCGCAGTTTGACACAGAACCTGCGGGATGTCAGCTCCGCGGAAAAGTAGTCCTTTAGTAACAGACAGCACGAGCGCATCTGTAGCGGGGGGATAGCCTATACAGAGTTAGTGAACAGAAAACACTGCTTGTTTAATTAATTAGTCTATATTTATCCTCAAATATTATAAAGGGGTTTTGACAGGTTGAAGAGATTACAGACACTGACAAGCTGTTTGAGTTTCTGAAGATCCAGAGAGAGAGGTGTGTGTGTGTGTGTGTGTGTGTGTGTGTGTGTGTGTGTGTGTGT